CTTCCTGGCTCTATTCCCTGCTGGAGAAATCTAATAAGCCTTTTCCCAGGCGCCACCCTTCAGAACCTGTCACGTAAACACCAAGAGTGCACACGAGGAAAACCCCAGGGAGGAGGACCAGAAACCCCAAGGGATGCCTGGCCAAGTTTTGGACCGCACCACGAGGTGGAGGGTCTTCTAGCTTTGTGCTAGGTCTCTCTACTGCACTGAAGGGAAGGGAGGAAGGCGCTTCCTTGTCATTGCGAAGTGCGTTCTCGTGTTCTGTCAAAGAGTCTACCCTTGATTAAGGAGTTGTCTTTGACCATAATCACTCCCTTTCTTCTCATAGTCAATCATTGGACAAATCCTCTTGGTTCTTCTTTGGAAGGTTCTTGTGCCTTCATTTTTTCCCAGTCTCCCTGACTGTTCTCTAATTCAGTGTGTCTCAAAGTATAGTCCCTGGGAGATGGTTAGACATGTGAACTCTCAGGCCCCAGCTGAGACCTACTGAGTCAGGAACTCTGTGGGTGGGGCCTGCAAGCTGCGCTTTAGCAGCCGGGCAGGAGGTCCTGATGCGCACTCAAGTCTGAGAGTCACGGCTCTCCCCTGGACCCCCCTTTCATTATTAGAACATTGTAAATCTAATGCATGCTCATTGTATAACATTTGGAAAATATAGGCAAGGATGAAAGAAGCAGACAAAAAAAAACCCATTGCCTTATAACTCGACTACTTAGAGGGAACCACTATTTTAATATTTTAGCCTTTTTTCTAATTAAAAAACACATTAAAAATAATCTTCATTCCCTTTTGTATATGAATTACTGCAATGTTTTCTGAGTGGTTCTGCCTGCTTTCAGTCTTCCATTTTCTCCTTTCTTCTTCCCAAATTCATCCTGGATCCACGTTACCCTCTCCTTCCTCCCCACCGTGCCACCTCCAAATTGAGATATACTTGACATACGACCCTGTGTGTAAGCTTAAGGTGTACAGCATATTGATTGGGTACATTTATATTGCAATAAGATTGCCACTGTAGCTTAGCTAACACCTTTATCATGTGACATAATTTTTTCTAGTCTTGGGAACAGCGGAGATCTAGTCATTTAGCAAATCTAATGTTTATAATAGTTTTCCTCTCTCTAATCAATGGACTGTGTGTTAGGTTCCCAGAAGTTACTTATTTGCTAGTTGCAAGCCATTCTTACTTTCAAGCATTTCTCATAATGCAGCTGCTTGGGCTTAAAAAAATATTCAATGGTTCCTCTTGTCCTCTGAATTAGCATACATGAACTGCTCACCGTAGCATTCAAGAATTTTGTGATATGATAGTTCCACTTTTACCCACTAATATGCATGCTCCATAAGGGGCGGGGGAAAGGCTTGTATCTCTGGAACCTAACACTGTTCCCTGTATTAGTAGGCGCTCAGTAAATATTTGTTCAATGAACAAATGTATCTTCTAATACAATCAAGTCATATTTGATAAATCTGTTTGTGCCATTCAGTTCTACGACCTGGAATAGCAGTTTGTGCTGTGTGGCACTTTCTCAAAGCGCCCGTGGGTGGGACCCATCCCAGGAGATTGTGATGCCTTGGGCGTGGTGTCCTGGGTATCCTTAGAAGAGACGCTCAGGTTTGCTATATCCTTCCCTAATTCCATGGGTCAGACATCCACCTGCCTTTATGAGATATCCTCCTTCCAAAGTCATCTCCCTCCCCTCCCCAGTCCTGTCGTACCTGCCTCAGGTGTTAGGAGGTGTGGGCAGAAGGGAGGAGTCGCCTGACTTGGGCTAAGCCAACCAGATGATTTCCCTGAGAATTTTAACTCTGTTGTGGAAGACTGAGGCAATCGGAAGGTGGTGGATGCTGAAGTCAGAAGATCCTTTGGACTTGGTGCTGGCAGTCACGTGTGGTCCTAAGTGAGCAGAGGAAGCCAGCCTGCAGGGAGGAGTGTGGAACAGCTATGCAGAGGGAAGCAGTAGAGACAGTGTGGAAAGACAGTGCGATAGGGACAGAAAGAAAAACTACCTGATGGCTTCTCAGCCCTGCACAGCCCAGCTGAGCTGCCAGCCCTGGGCTGACCCAGGTTTCCTCTGATGTACCAGTTTGAAGGATTCTTGATCAGGAGACGGTCTTTCTAGGCCTGCCTCAGCTTCCTCCTCATATTTAAAAGTCCCTCAGGTCTTCCCACCTGCAGCAAGTGCTCATCTATCCAGCCGTCACTGCCAGGAGCTGGGTCACAGGGCTTTACACTGAACTGTTCCATAAATAATCACATGGGCCAAATAATCAGCGATGGGGGAGGGGCTCTCTGGTCCCAGGGCAGAGAAGAAGCCTGCTGGAGAAGAAAGCAGGAAACATCAAGGGGAGGGGCATTCCCTGCACGGGGAAGGAGCCTCGGGCCCCACCCCCCCACACCGACTGGCCTGGAATCTGGGCGCTCCGGATCCAGAGCCTTTGGTACTCTCTGCCCCAGGCCCAGGCGGAGCTGCAGGATGAATGCTTCCATCTAGTCCTCAGGAAATAAGCACTGGCCACAGTGACTGCTAGGACACACGTCCAATTCTGCTGTCAGATGTGTTTTTAAACAGTCCCACTTGTTCCTTTGAGGCTTCTCAGGATAGAAGGTACAAGGGCACTTTTTGAAAGTTCAAGAGTGGAAATTAGAGGAGGTTCTTTCTAAGTAAGTTTGGTCCTGGTACCCTTTTGTCAGGTACTCTGTTCCAGAGCTGGGGTTCGATGGAATTATAAGGTGACAAAACCATACGAAGCCTTCCTTTGGCTTTCAGTAAAGGCCTGGATCTCCCATTTCAGACAGACAGACAGACAAGTGTACTCTGACATGCAGATCAGTCGGGTCTGGTCCACCACTTCGGATGACACCCTCCCACATTTCTTCCCACATTTGTAATAGCAGTGAGAGAGATTAAGATATATGCTTGAGAATGGAGGAAACAAACAAACAAAAAAAACCCCACACATAAGAAGGTGAGCTAATAAAAGGCAGTTTACCTCACGGACACTCCACCCTCTGCCTTGGCTTCTCCTGGCCCAAGGCTTGCTCGTCTTTATGTTTTTGTTCACCTGGGATGACTGGCTTAGACACTGGTGGCTAACAGTTGTCATGGAGAGTTTTTCAGAATGACATATTCCATGTGCAATAACCTTCAGGCCACATCCTCTCATTTTGAACTCTGAGTAAGAAGGAGAGTGCTGGAGTGAAAAATAACCTGCCCCCTTCTATCGAAGAGAGACTTCTAGCTATGGTGTGAGTGCGGTTGGGAATTGGGAGGGCTAGTGACTGACTGTTCCTCTCCTGGCCAGTAAGGTGTGAGGACAAAGGTCTCTCACCTTGGTTCCTTTGATGAGAGATTCAGCAGCCTCAACTGATATGCTGATGAGGGGTGGGACCCACACTAGACCAGCTCCTGTTTTGGCTTTGTTATCAGTTCTGTCTTCAGAGATGATCTAGTTTGTTTCTCTTACCTCACACCTTTTCCTGGTGGCTCAGGGTAAGTCACATCAAATGCTCAGTCATTAATGGGGTGGGGCTGGGTGAACTCAGGCTGCCCCTCGGCCTCCACCTCTGAATCATCTGGGGGAGATTTGCCATAGTGCTGGTAAGTAGCACAGCCTGGAGTGAGCGTCCTTCCTGAAGACTTGCCGCCCACCATCTTGAAGCTTTGCTAGGGGAAATGACTTACATCGATTGGGGGGTTGCTTATTTTTTAAAATTAAAAAAAAAAAAATAATTTCAGGCATCCAATGGGACTTTTCTTTCCCTTTGGCTGGGTTAAATGTACTGCAAGCCAGAGGGGTTTCTGATGGAGACCACTCCGGGCCTTCTGACTGGTTCTGCTGTAGTTTACAAATAGCTGAACGAGGCTCAGCTATCACTGGCTCAGGTGGGTTCAGGTAGGGGTGGTAGGAGTGACCTGGAACTTCTGTGGAGGAACCTGCTGATTTGGTGACCTGGGAGAGTAGTGCAATCCATATTTTTATTTATGTTACCACCAGGGTGACCCTTAGGACTCTCCTCCTCTCCAAAGGCTGCTACTAGGTGTGACTTGAGCAGTGGGTGGCCATTCTTTGGAGGAGCCTAAAGACTTGGAGCTGTGGCTGCACCGTTTGCCGGGCGTCTCTGTGAATGGTGGGTTGGGAGCTCAAATATGAAGGAGATGAAGCTTGTTTCCGCTAGAGGCTTAGAAGTGGGTCGGGGCGTTGAGCACAACGCCCTGGAGAAGCCCCACTGGCGTGGCCTTTAGGACGCTCCTTTTGCTCTGTAATCTGTAATGGCCACCCTCCGTCCCTCGGCAGACAGGCGCCGGCAGACGACGGGAGGAGCGGCCACCCGGGCCGCAGGCTGCGGTGCCTTTGTGCCTTTTCTCCCGGGGCACTAGGTGGGCGCTGGGGGAGCTCTGGGGACGGCCCTGGGAGTCCCGCCAGGACGCCGTAGTTGGGGAAAAGTGAAATCTCCTCTCCCCCTTTCAAGCCTCGCCCGCATCGTAATTCCTTTTATTTTTACTTTCGAGCCATGTAAGGCATGTAGACAGGGTAGGAGCGTTCCGGAGACACGTAGCCAGCGGCGCAAAGCCGGCCCGCTCGTGCGGCCCCAGCCCGGGGTAGGGACAGGCCGCACGACTTCTGCCCTGCCAGCGTCGCTTCCCTCAGTCCTGGACTCGCCGGGTCGCAGGGCCCCAGCCGGCCACCCCCACCCCGCGGTGCCGCAGGAGGCGAATCCCCTTGGCCCGGCCCGGCCCCATCTGGCCCCTGGCTGCGTCCCGGAGCGCCCAGGGGAGGGTCTGATCGCGGAGCGGAGAGGAGTCGGGGGGTGCGGCAGGGCCGGTCCTGGCGGGTCCGCACCCGCGCCCCAAGCTGCCCGGAGGCCCGGCCCACGTTTTCCCTCTCTCCGACTCCCTCCGCCCCCTGCGCTCCGTCCCTCCCCTTCGCTCTCCTCCCTCCCTGCGCTTCCCCTCCTCCTGGCTGGTCATGTGTCGCCTTTTTTTGTTTGCAGTGGAAACAATTTCTCGCTGCTCGACGCGCCCCGGCCCGACGCGCCGCGGCGGAGGCGAGCGGGAGGCGGGACGGGGCGGGGAGAGCGGCGGGGCCGGCGGGAGGACGCGCTGCGCGCCGGGCGGACGCCGCAGGTCCCATGCCGCGCCGCGACCCCCGCGCCCCTGCCGTCCGCGCCCGCGGCCGCCCCCCGCCGCCCTCCGCCCCGGGCTTGCCGCGCCGCACGTCCCTAGCCGGGCCACCAAGAGATGCCCGCTGGGCGCCCGCGAAAGTTTGTCGGCTCCCACTAAAGGGCAGCGGCGCCCCTGCACCCCCGCGCCCCGCTCCAGCCAGGTGAGTTCGCTCCGCGCTCTCGCCAGCACCCCAGTGGGATTGGGTGACCCGGTCGGGGGCGCTCGTCCGGGGAGATCCTGGCAGCTCTCGGCAGACAAGGGACTCCACAGCTCCTGGGGGAGAGCGCGGGGCGGGGGCCTGGCCAGGCGGGGGAGACGGGAGCCCCCGAGCGGGGAACTTGCTGGGTCCGAAGAGTTTCCTGCCCCGACGTGCGGGGCTGTTTCCCAGTGCCTCGATTTCCCAAAAGACGCCCAAAAGGAACAGTGTTAGCATTGTCCGCGGAGGACAGGATCCCCGCCGTTCCTGGCGGAGGGAGAGGGTGCTGGTCCAGGGGACACCCCAAGATGAGAAACAGCCTCGTAACAAAGATACCCTCCCCCCACAAATTGTGCAGGCTGGGCACCAGCAGTGAGCGTCTCCCAAGACCCCCGAGGCCCGACCCCTCCTCATCCCGGACCTCTTTGAACCCTCCTTGGTCCTGGAGAAGTTGGGGGACGGCGGGCTTTTATTGATGTGTTTGTAAGGCTCGCAGCAGTGCGGCCAATAAAAGGTTTATGACATCTGACCAGCAGTGAAGGTATGCGAGCTCCCAATTGCCCTGTATACGGGGAGAAGAGCAGTTTCCCCGTTGCTTGGCAACTCCGCTGATTGACGCGGGACGCAGCCAATTGCGGCTCCCGCAGGTCCCCTTGAAATGTTTTTGACAAGTACAGTAGATGCGAGTGGAGCGCGTGCGTGTGTGTGTGCGCGCGCGCGCGCACGGAGGGTGGGGGTTACCTCCCCCCCAACTCGAGATTGCCCTGCTAGGCTTGGGGAGGATTTCTCAACTTTTTAAAGTTCACATCGTACATCTGTTCAGAGCTGGGCGAGTAATGTCTTTGTCAGTTATTCGGAGACAATTCTGATAGCCGGCAAAAAAACTAGCTTTCCTGTTGCCTTTACTCCGTTGTAAAGAAAAAAAAAATAACCAAACACGTCAAAGAGAAAGAAAGGGAGACAGAGGGAGAGAGCGATCGAGCCTGTGTTACGTGTGTGTGTGTGTGTGTGTGTTGTGGCGGGCGACCGTAACTAACCAGTAGCAAACGGAAAAGTTGTAAGGAGGTCACTAGTAGATAACTATTTGAATGTATGATGGAGCAGCCTTTCTCGATTAAAAATACTTGCTTAACTGCAGACTCACATGATTTGGATTCTTTTTCTTCCCTCCTCTAAAATTGGAGGAAAAAAGATTTGGCGAATTATGTAGTTTGAGAATAATAATGGAAAACTCAGCTGTGGTTTCTGGGAACTGTTTTTTAAAATGGAACTGGAATGATCAGCAGCTCTTGATACTGTTGCTCTAAAATACGGTTTATAGGGATGCCCTTAGCAGTTGGAAGGCATGGGTGGAGGAGAGACAAAAAGCAGCGGAGTGATCCAAGGGGACCGAACCCTGTAACCTTGTTTTCTTGACAGTGCCGTTTTTCTAATAAAACCATATTGCTGCCAATGTTTGTTTAAAACAAAAGAAAACATGGAGAATAGTGTGTTAGTTCCTTTGGGAAGCTGCTGACAAATAAGCAAACTAAAAAGAAAGAGAGCAGCATGTTGTCATAGCAACAGTGCAATTAAATTACTTTACTGTCAGCCATGATATAATTTTCCTGTTTGGAAGCTCAGGAGACGTAAAACTTTCGTGTGGAGCTGAAGTTGACTTCAGTGGCTGGGTAGTAGTCTTCGTTGGTCCTGTACTGTGGATGTTCCTGGTTATCAGGAAATTTGTTTTTTTTTAATTGAGATCCGAGGAAACTTTGAGAGAGAGAAACCTAGCTTTGATTTGTTTATAAAGAAGGTAAAAGCCTTATCAGGCTGGTCTCTGTCAAACTGCCAAGCCTAAAGATACTAGGTTATTATTTAAAATGTGTCGTGACTACCCCGGTTAGTTCATGGCAGAAAGAAATGCTCCCCATTGATGAACTTGAGGTATGCAAGCAGTCTGTTCCATGGGGCTTCAGTGCCCGGAGTTTTCTTTGCTTAAAGTTGGGCATCCCACAGCCGTTCCAGAGAGCACTCCCAGGCCTTCTCTGTCCGCAGGCTCGGTTTGACCGCCTTTAGGAGCGGGAGGGTCCTGCAGTTCTGGAGCACCCTGGGTCAGCTGTGTAGCACCCCACACGGCTTTCTAGAACTCCATTCTAGAGCTTCCCCAGTTGAAGTGGCAGTTATTTTAGGCGTAGTGTCACTGGACCTTTTGAGCCGTAGAATGACCATTTGTTTGGTTTCGATGTATTTTTTTTCTAGAGGGATTGTTTGCTCTTCTTGCTTACAGGGGAAAAATAAAACAGACACTCTTCTTAAACCAAGCGCATTGTTTTTGAGCGCTACCAACGGGAGAGGGGGGACATCGCCTCATTATCTTCATTGTTCTTTCAATCTTACACTCAGTACCAGGGGCGGAACAGCTTTGTATCTGCCAGGGTCATTCTGTTTGTGGACTTGCCATTTCCTCGTTTTCTTTTCTCATTAAGATATTTTACTCCCTGTTCTAGGTCATTGATAAACATGGGGGCAGCAGCAAAAGAGAATTATGTAGCAATTTTTGCTGGATTTGCCTTCCTTTGTTGAAGCTGCCCCTTTGCTCACCTGACTTTTCTCCCAAATTCTAATTTCAGTTAATGGCTTGTCTTTCATATTCCCATTTATTTGTATGGTGCCTGAAATTACTCACTTTTTCGTTCAGAGTGTAGTGTTGCAATAAAATTAAATGTACTGCTTCCTCCAGTTCAAATCCACAGAATGGCAATGTAATTAAAGTTGCAGAGTGATGGATGCTATTTGTATGGAAACTGAAAAAACTGGTCTTAAACTTACAGGTATTTTCTTTTTTTGAGAACGGTAAACGATGAGACCAATCAACCTAAGAGACAGGGGTTGGATATTGAGCTTGTTAGGTAATATTTATCATGGAGCTTGAAATACTTTTACCTGTATATATATTCATGAATAATAGATACACTGAGGCAACAAGGAATAGCTGATTTTCCCAGGGTCACAGTGAGAGCGTGCATAGATCCAGGAAGAAGGCATAGTGGAATTTGCCATCCTTTCTGTGATGCAGTTGCACATTAAACATGCGGTAGATATCGCCAGTCTACTGTACTGATGGTGTGGCAGGTCACTGGTGCATGCATGGTGGACCGATTTTACTTACAGTGCGTCTCTCTGTGGTGGAATTTTGGGTTTGCATTACTCAGTGTAGGAGCTGTGCGATATGTCCTCTATGGGGCGGGGGTCCATAGCAATGACAGCGGTGGGCGTGGTGACAGGAACTAGGAGGGCACAGCTGCCTCTCTGGGTTTGGGTTTCACTAACTTATTTTTTCTGTGTCATGTGTTTACCAGGAGCCTTCACGTAAATGGGTCCAGTCATGCCTCCCAGTAAGAAGCCGGAAAGCTCAGGAATTAGTGTCTCCAGTGGGCTGAGTCAGTGTTACCGGGGCAGCGGTTTCTCCAAGGCCCTTCAGGAAGACGATGACCTCGACTTTTCTCTGCCTGACATCAGATTAGAAGAGGGGGCCATGGAAGATGAAGAGCTGACCAACCTGAACTGGCTGCATGAGAGCAAGAATTTGCTGAAGAGCTTCGGGGAGTCGGTCCTCAGGAGCGTCAGCCCCGTCCAGGATCTGGACGATGACACGCCCCCGTCCCCCGCCCACTCTGACATGCCCTACGATGCCAGGCAGAACCCCAACTGCAAACCCCCCTACTCCTTTAGCTGCCTCATATTTATGGCCATCGAGGACTCTCCAACCAAGCGCCTGCCAGTAAAGGATATCTACAACTGGATCTTGGAACATTTCCCGTATTTTGCAAATGCACCTACTGGGTGGAAAAACTCAGTGAGACACAATTTGTCATTGAATAAGTGTTTTAAGAAAGTGGACAAAGAGAGGAGTCAGGTAAGCCTGTGTGTCTGGCACTCAAAGAGTTCCCGTTTTCTTTTTAAAATTTTTAATTTTCCTCCAGTAAAAAAATGGTAAGGAATGTCAAGTCACCGCACCGAGGTAGCAGTTACAAATGGATAAATTTAGTTCATTCATTTAGGTAGTTGTAAACTTCCTTTTCCTTAAGTATATTAATTAAATCCTGTTTTTGGTGTTTGAGCTGGATTGAGGTTTTCTCCCACTGTGGTAACTGAATATAATCACAAAACAAGGGTTTGCACACTGGATTGGTTTCTGTTGATGTGGACGGGTCAGTTTGGGTTTGGAGTACAAAGAGCCAGCCATTAACCACGAGGTGTATCCTAGAATAAATGGACAGTAATGGGCATTGGGAGGCGATGTGAGCATACTTACATCTTCCAAGACTAAACACAGACAGACATGAATTGCCGAGGTGCCTCTTGAAATCAGATGTCTACCTAAGTGTTTGGCAGCTTTGAAACTCCCTGAATATGAAAAATTAGCTCAGGGTAAAGTTCCCACTAGAGACTGACTTTAAAAAAAAAAAAAAAGGCTGAATTTTGATTTTAAAGCCTTAGCTTGCGCTTCATGGTCCACTAAAAGACAGTTTTCATGATCTACTTTGCCTTTCTTATAAGGATAAAATAGGTACAATAGAAAGTGGGTCGACTGTTAGAGCTGGAGACTAAAACTGTGATCCAGCTTGGAGTTCGGTAAGGTAATGGCGCCACAGTTAAGAAACTGCCAGGAAACATCCCTCAGTAGTGACCGTGGGACTGGGCGTTCCAGCCTTGTTTCTCATTAACAGTGCCGATGGGCTGCTCTTCCCCTTTTTGAAGTTCAGGTTTGGGCTCCCAGTCACTATTCTGTGGGCTCAGCAGCTGTGCAGGGTTGGGACCTTTACTTTCTCTCCAGAAACATGTTTCTGTTTCCAGTAGAACCTTGGGCCTGAGGAAATTCCACTTGTCTTGGGCATGGAAGAATGCGAATGAGGAAGTAGGGAAGACATTTTTCTCCTTGTGGCAGCTGGACACGTTTGTCTGCAGATGCTATTGACCTAGAGTTTGTGTTCAGGATGGAAAGGGGGCACCATGCGGGGTTTGAGGAGGGGCGGTGCCGGGGGAAGGACAGATGCTGCGGACACCAAGGGGCTTTGCCGTTGGCCGCCGGTGCGGTGATGCCGCGATCCAGTGTTCCTGTGCGGACAGTCGTGTCCCGGGCCCCTCCTTCATCAGGTCCTCGTATCTACGTAACTGTAACAACAGCGGCTGCTGCTCTTGTCCCCAGGTGGCCGCTTCTCTCCCTCCTCCCCTCCACATCTCAGAACGGGCTTTTGGAGACCAGCCTCCAGAGCTGGCTCTGGAGTGTTTTAAGATCAGTCTTTGAACTTAGAGAAAATTCGCTGCTTTCCTGTAAAGAGCCAAGTCTGTAGTATTAAAAGCTCCTGTTCAGGTGGGTCCCCGTGGAAAGTCCTGGAAAGCATTTTCAGATTTGAACATGGAGAAGAAGATGGTGTTCAGGTCCCCCAGAGCCGCATGTCACTGATAAGGCAAGACAGAGGACTTTTAGTTTGGTGAGAACTGGTTACACAATTCACCATGTGCCCATGTCTCCGTGTTTGGAGTCATGATGGTACACAGAGAAATTATTCAGCAAGCACACTCTGAAATGTTAGCCGAGCCACCCCAAAGCGCGCACGGAGACTGGGAGGATTGTTCACCTGCCGTGGGTGGGACACACGGGTGTTGGGTGGTCTGTCTGGTAGAACCCTTTCCCTGATGCACTTCCCCTGCCCCCAGTCCCACATTTCCAGGGGTGACAGTTGTCACTCTGAATAAATGCAGATATCACTTGTTGAAAGGGAATGGTTTTAAGGACTTACGGCTGTGACTCTTACGAAATGTTGAGTTCTGGCTTCCTACCCGTGCTGACCTGTGTTGACATGTTTCTGATCAAATGCCATCAGTTTTGTGGTTGAGAGTTTGTTCCCAGGGTTTGTCCTGCCGTGAGAACAAAGCAAGGAGTGTGAGTTTTCTGTCCCGTTTTCTCCTCCTCTTTCCTCAGGTTGCCTTGGGGCCAGCTGGTGGCTGCTCTGAGAGGCCTAGACCCCCAGGGACTCTCAGGACACTGGGGGTTTTCTCCTGGCTCTCTGAGCGGAGAGGCAGGCATTTCCCCTGCCGCTTTGCGCAGCAAAGCCTCCTTCGGCCCCGCAGGTAACCTGCTGTTCTCCAGGGGGTCGCACCTGGCGGCTCCGCCGCAGCGCAGTGACAGTAGCTGGATGCACCAAACATTGGTGGGAAAGAGGGCAGGTGAAGGGGAGAACGGAAGCCTCGCACGTTGTCTTCACAGAGTTAGCAGTTCCTTTTTTTTCCTTTTAAAAGTGTAGAACACAGTTTTAAAACTGACCCAACTGAGAATGCAGAATGTTGTGTGGTCCTTGTCCTTGAGGGGTTAGAACATGTACCCTGCTGGACACCTGTGTGGAGGGCATGTTGGCGATCAGGAATGTCTAGATCGATTGCATTAGAATCGACCGTGCCCCTTACAGATGGGACGTTGCTGGGCCCCTCCCTGGATCCTGATGCAGCGGGTTCGAGGTGGTGGGTTGGGGAAAACCGGCATCCTAATAAGCTGTTTTCATAGGTGTTTCTGACTTGCAGCCAGAATTGAGAATCCCTCAGCGAGATGCTTTTGGGTTCTTTCCAGTGCAGAGATTTCATCAAGAACATATTCTCATGAATGAGTAAGTCAGGGGAAAATAGATGGTTTTGCTTCCGTTTTATCTCTGTCTCTCCCTTTTTTTCAGTTTTATCTCTTGAAGGAATTTAAAAGATAAGAGTCTTATTTTTTGATCATGAAAAATTTAAACAGGCACAGTAGAGGGAATAGTATGATAAATCTATATAACCATCGCCTCCGGTGTTCACATCCAGATTCTGTAGTTAACAAGGGCTTCCCTTCCTTACTTCATTCTTTATTTTGCCGTGCTTAAGTATTTTGAAGCAAATCCCAGATCTTACGTCACTTTATCTCAAAATATTACAGTATGTGTGCACAAGAATCATCGACCGTTCATTACGTAACCACAGGGCCAGTATCACCTATAACAAAATGAAAAATTCTGTGGTATTATCTAATACCAGGTCCATATTCAGTTCTCCCTGATGATTTACAAAATGTTTGTTTGAGTTAGGATCCAAACATGGTTTTTTGTTTTTTTTTAAAGATTGTATTTCTTTATTTTTAGAGAAAGGGAAAGGGAGGGAGAAGGAGAAGGAGAAGGAGATAAACATCAATGTGTGGTTGCCTCTCGCATGCCCCCCTCTGGGGACCTGGCCCGCAACTCAGGCATGTGCCCTGACTGGGAATCGAACCTGTGACCCTTTTGTTCGCAGGCTGGCACTCAGTCCACTGAGCCACCCCAGCCGGGGCCCAAATGGTTTATGTATTGCATTTGGCTCTTATGTTTCTTCATCCACAGCAGCCCTGCTCCAGTCCCCTTTCATTCCCGTCCTCGTACAGACACCCATCTGCTGGGATGCAGGATGCCCTGGGTCCTGTCTGTATCCTGTCTGCTTCTTTGAGATTTCATTGAGCTTGTTCCTCTAACCTCTGTATTTTCTGTGACGTGGAAGTAAGTGCCAAAGACTAGATCACTTTCTGGCTTGGTTTTTCCCCAAGAACACTTACGGATGGCGCTGTGTGGCCTCACATCAGGAAGCCTGGTTGGCCCTTTCTTGGGGATGCTGAGGTCTAGCTCTGGGCCGCGTGGGGTCGGCTGCTCCGTCCTCTGCAAAGTCCCCCGGCAGTCTTTCATCTCATAGTTTCATTTGTGGAGAACCTTTGCCCGAATCCATCAAGATAAAGTTTCAAAGTCGGGGATTAAGTTTTATACCTCCTAAATACAGACCTTAGTTAAGACTATAAGATTAGCAAGTACTAACCCCTCTTCAATACTTGTAAATGAGAAGTAAAGAGCAGTTTTTTGTTTGTTTGGTTTCTTTTTTATTGACTGGATAATAATGGTTCAGGTATGTGTGTTTCTATTTCTGTGCTTTTTCTCAACTTCCCCTCTTGCCACTGTAACAAAAGAAAAAAACACATTGTCATAGGAGGGCTTATAATGGAAACACTGTACAAAAAGTACATTTCCTATATCCAGAACTGAGTGCTTAAAATAAAATTTTAGCTTTTCAATATGGGAAACTTGTTTTGGTTGAAACAAGACTAGATTGGAAGCCAGGACACCAGCTTCTAGTTTTGATGTTGGTCGCATGCGGCTTGGGCTTCAGTGTCCTCATCCGTAGAGAAAAGAGTTGGTAGTTGCCTGGGCTTCTTCATGGGGCCTTGGGGCGCCAGAGGCTCTGCACACAGCCTGGACTTAGTGACCACGGGTCACGTGACTATGCATATCACGTTTTCCTAGGGAATCCCAAGATTTCATTTATTTCGTTTTATTTATTTTGTTTTCGTTTTTAAATGGAACTTCTGACCCAGGAAAGGAAAAGAACGACTGGCCTTTTATAAGAGTAGCCAACTATCCCCTTTCTTCCTTACTATAACCCTGTGAGGTGGTCCCATTTTCCTTCTTAAAATAGATGATGAGTTAAGCTTAGAGTGGTTTAGCCACTTGTTGGAGGCTGCACAGCTAGTAAGTAGTGGAACACGAATGTACCCAAAATCCCTCCAATTCTTAAGGGCTTCTGTGTGCTTAAATGAACCCTGGTGCTTGATTATACCTCAGCACAGAGGCTGTGGTAGACGGTCTCTATGTGCTTCCTCAAAATACTCTATAAACCTGAGTCGTGGAGGACTACAATGACCCACACAAATCCAGAATTCACTCTGGGGGCACAGGAGAGAGAAAGATAAACATAGAGCATATTTTTGTGCTATTGCATTTGGACCAAATTCTGTCTCCGTCTGCAAATGGAAAGAAAGGTGTCTCACTTGCACAGAGCTCATCACGGCCCTCTCTGCTTTCTATTCCCAGG